CGGGTGGCGTAGGAGCCGCGGAGGGCGAACGAAGACAGGGGAGGTGGGGGGAAGTGGTTTGGGGAGGGAGCCATGCCACTGACCTGAGGGTTCCATCTTGCAGCAGCATTCAGTCGATGACAACTACTCCACCGCACCTCAATCTTGGCCCACCACACCTCATGGCGGCAGCTGGCCAACCTTAGGTCAGAGGGAGACAGGGATAGTGTGTGTGCGTGTGTGTGTGTGTTGTCATGTTTGCTATACAACTCCATTAAAATACCATGACTGTGGCAGACTGTTTCGTCGGGCTTTCACCGACTCATCAGGAGGTTGAACCCCGACAGTCTGCCCAGAGTGAAAGAGAGAAGCAGCGAGCGAGAGAGAGAGTTGGGCGCTGCGCACCAAGGTCCACAACAGCAAGCAGGGCATACACAACACGGCCAGAGGCAGTACCCAGCACGTACTACGGCAAACAACATGAACGCGTCGGTGCAAAGCTCAAGAAAATATGGCGCGATGCGGTTGGAACCGACAAAGGCAAAATAAGGCGTGTCTATCTGCGAAAGGCACTCTGCGGCGTGTCTATCTGAGCCGTCGGTACGGACCGACGGCCTGGATCTCGGCGCGGTCCTAAGATCTTAAGACCGCATCTATCCAGGCCGTCGGTCTGGTAGGACCCGATGGCCCAGATGACAGATTTGTTACATGGTTAGGTCGATCTGGGCCGTGGGCCGGTAGGACCGACGACGGCCCGGATTTCAGATTTGTCACGTTAACGATTTTAATAGTGTAGGGAAGCTTGCCACATCGATTGTGGTTGAGCATGTGTGTGTGTGTGTGTGTGTGTGTGTGTGTGTGTGTGTGTGTGTGTGTGTGTGTGTGTGTTACAGACGATTACCAGAACAACCCCTTTTCCACCCAGATGCGTGGATCAGAAATCGAAACCAGCCTTACTTTACAATCTTGTATGCGGTTGTGCGGGTGCATGCGTGTTTGTGCATGCAAATGGGGGATTTGTTTGTGTGCATGCAAATGAGGAAGTTATGCCATGATCAGTATCCCTGTTTAAGAAGAAAACCAAATCCAGCCACTTACTGTGATTCATCTTGGCATTCATTGCAGTGGTCGAGCTCGGCAAAATGAGGTTATACCAATACCCAAACTACTGTCATCCGGTAAAATTGGAACGATACAGAGAAGATTAGCATGGCCAAGATCATACATAACATAGTTGAGCGGTGAGCGCACACTTACCCAGCAGAGCAGATGGCACAGTGCAGACTGATATCACGGGGATCCTTTCCACCCAAGTACATGGAGAGTGCTAGCACCCCACTTGCAAGAGCCATCACGAAGAACGCCATCCTCCACCCTGCAACCCCGAGGATTAGGCTGTCTGCCATCAACGTAGCAAACACTGCCCCGGATATCCCACCGACAAAGCCTAACATCTGATACACGCCGAACCCCCATCCCCTTCTGCCAGCTGGGTAAGAGTCCGCAATTATCGATTGAATAGATGGAATCACCAGAGCTAATCCTATGCCGTTCAGCGCTCTTGCAGTCGCAACCTGTGAGAGAGAAGAGTGTCACACCAAGTCCCCACTGTATATCAATTTCCAATTCATTACTTCCACTCTTTTTCTGCACCCGTGTCAACTTCACTGCTGCCATATCACCAGGAATGAATACTGGAATGCAGTTGTCTTTATTACCCACAAGGTCAGCAGTATTTGCACAAGCCTGGTTCAGGGTTCAGGGTTCGAACCCCGCAGACGACAAAAAGAAAGGATGCCATAACACCAAACAGCAATGGTTTGGCTAGAACTCCCAAAACATGAAACAGAGAGAGAGAGAGCAAGGGTCACATCATTCCTTCCTGTCTTTGCTGAAACATGAAACAGAGAGAGAGAGAGAGCAAGGGTCACATCATTCCTTCCTGTCTTTGCTGAAACATGAAACAGAGAGAGAGAGAGCAAGGGTCACATCATTCCTTCCTNAGAGAGAGAGAGAGCAAGGGTCACATCATTCCTTCCTGTCTTTGCTGAAACATGAAACAGAGAGAGAGAGAGCAAGGGTCACATCATTCCTTCCTCTCTTTGCTGTCTTTCCAACAAATTACTGAAAACTTGAGAATTACCTCATCCCYCCCCCCCCCCCTTCTCCCGCCCCCCTCGAACACAATGCCCAATCCGTATACCTGTATTCAGTGTGCAACTTTTTAGAGGGAAGATACAGAAATACTAAAATAGTGACCAGGTGCTATGTTCTGGGAAAAGAAGGTCTATCAATGCCCACTCAGGACATAGCAATGCACGCTTCTGCTTGAAGGGCATGCATCAGCACGGGGACTGGCATCCCCACGTGCCATAACGGCACACATGCACACTATGAGAGGAGGGAAAGACGGGGGAGAGGTAAACACCTTTCCATTTTTTAGCAGATCTTCAGATTACATGTTGTCTGTTCTCTTAATGATGCTCATTCGTATGCATTTATTGGTACTACACAAGGGGACGGAGGGAGGAAAGGGGAAGGGGAGGAGTTCGTTCCGAACAGAGGAAACATGAAACTTCATAAGGGTTATCCGTACTCGTTGCAACAGCAGACTACTGTCGAATGGCGCTAGAGGCCAGTCAGTGTTCGCATTGCGGGGAGATACATGTTGAGGAGCAGGCATTGCTTATGGTACGTGGCCACGCCTACAGACTGGACAGGACCGGTTCGGGTGCGGACTGTGAAAGCACCACGTCCGATTCTTGCAGTTGCATGCTGAACCAAATGGCATGTCACAGGCTACAATGCACCTACATGCTACGAACACGGAGGCACGCTGACCGCAATTGCATAGCCATTGCCGTTCCAGCCCGTGTCTACAAAGAGGACATGTCATGTCAGGGTGTTGTCCATGAGTACAATGTCGACTGCCATCGTATGTACAAAAACAAAGACGTGGTGAGTGCGTGTTTTTAAGAACCCCCCTAACTCTTAAAACTCTCATTCCATCCACCAATCATCACAGACCACCCGTAAAACAGAAAACGTATAGATACGCAATATAGCAGAAGATGCAAGGTTGGCCACGT